ACACAGGATGTGGAAATCGATCGTTTGAACTTCATCCCCAAACATCCGAAAGTTTCGCTGAGTTTCGCCCACACTGCCTAGATTTCTTGTCTGTTTCATATGTCCGATAACTAGAAAACACGTTTGATATCTAAAAACTTTTTTACCATATTAGAAATTCCATCCAAACTAAAGTTAGGACTTATTGATGGTGTGATGATCGATTTCCGAAACTATTATATATTTGTTATGGATTAAGTCATATGTTGTACCAAAATTACAAATACTAAATGTAGCGGTTGTTTTAAAGTTTCATATTTATAAGATGATTTTGTTAAGATTTTTCAAAAAAAAATAATTTCTACAAATTTCGATGGGCGTGATATTTCCACGTTTATAAATTACAAACTTTTCATTTCTCTCTAATTTAACCAATGTAATTATTGGAAAAACTGTAAGTATGCTCTATGAGTAAAAGTCATCAATTAGATCTCGAGTTAGTTAGTTCGATTAGTCGATTAGTTTCTTCAAGACAGCCGTTTCTTAATCAGTGCATTATCGGTGCTTAGAGGTCCGAATATTTTTTATAGTTAATCAACTAATACAAATTTAATTAATAAATAATTTATAGTTTTCGAAATATGATGTACAATTATTTTCTTTTCGAACATAAGTAATTTTATATCAGAATATACAAATTTCAAAATGGTATGCGCATCTAGTTGATTTTTTATGGATTCTAATAAAATATTAAGATTTATAAAACTAGGTAAAGTTAAACTAAAGAAGTATATTATGCAAAATTTCTGGTTTGAAAATCTGCGCACCGCACCCTTACTAAATCATATGCTATAAGAAAATAGATATGGAGATAAGTATAGAAAAATATTTTCAATGAAACTATAGCATCCAGAAGAATTTCTATAGAGAAGATATTGTTGAAGGATGAATCGAATCGTAATCATAATCGTAATAAAACATAACTGATTAATTATGATTTCTTTTGTTGACCAATATTACTATAGTCTTCTAGATCATACTAAAATATTACGGCCCTACGACGATTGGTTTAACTTTGAAAATTCGTCAAAGTTTGCAAAAATTGGTATCGTTTTTTTGGCATTTGTCAAAACCAGACCTTTCATCGACGTTTTCTCAAAAACGCCTGAACCGATTTCAGAAATTTGAAAGCCATTTGATGTATTTCGATGAGGACTATCGTTTGTCAGTTTTGTGCGACGATCTGACAAGCCGTTTCTTTGTAGTTGGAAAAAAAGTGTTAAACTTTTCGTCCACATTTAAGCTCATCCTACGGAACCGATTTTAAAAAATCAAAAACCGTTCAAAAGATATTAGTTGGGAATGATACTGATTAGTTTTAGGTGAGCCGTTTTCTTGTAATTAATGTTGAAAAAAAAAATTTAAGCTGATTTTTATGGATTTTTTTTAGCGATATAGATCATGGTCTTATAGAACTTACTGTAATATTACGGCCTTACGGCAAGTAGTTTAATTTTAAAAATTCATCAAAGTTTGAGAAAATAAGTAGTTTTTTTTGACGTGAGCTAAAATTAAAATTAGACGATTTACTTGGTATAACAATATAGAACTTGATCTTAATAAACATACTAAACCATTAACGTAACCATTACTCCGAGTTAACGTGTTCGTTCGTTTTCAATTATGTGTAATAAATCAACTCATAAATTAATTTATTTTTTATTGATTAAGTCGATTATTTACACATATCGAGGAGTTCATGTAACTTTTCTCAAGGCTAAATACCAATACCAACTAGTTTCATGATTCATTGTGATCAGTAGAAATGAAATAATATTCAAAGAGAATGTATATTTTGATATAGAAGTAGTATTAAAATTTATGATAGCAAACTAGTTGTAGTTATTATTACTTTTGAGATGATACTTGGAATAACTAAAATACAATTTATATTTTATTGCCACATGGCTCTTGAATCTGTATATAAAAATAGCAATAGTAAAACTGTCGTGTCCTGCAAAATACCACTAAAATGTTTATAGTCACATAATTTTCAATTGTAATACTGAGCACTTGTCTCAACCTCTATTTACTATTGTTACATTTTCTTATATTTTCTTATTTTTATCCATCTTACCACTGTGAGTGCCTCTCATTTGCCCCCATCTGATGCAGTAATACATTGACGATCGTTTAGCAAAGGGCAGTTTCCTAGCCCTAAGTCCACATTGTTCTGAACAGCATCCCTTAACTACCGGTTTCCGGTATATAGAGCAGTTATTCCGGCTTCCGTCGTAAGACTGCATCAGTCGTTTGCGACAGACCGGCGCCCGGGGACCGAACACGACTCATACCAAAGTCTCGACAAAGGAACAATTTCTGCATTCTGATCTCGCAAACGATATTTTATTCCATGCAAGATAATACTTCTTCTCGTGACTGTAAAAATAATATTTTATATCTATTCTATTTCTGTGTTTTTAAGCTTTGCATATTTCTCAATTTCTATATTTTATCTCTATTAAAAATAAGGTGACCGGCCAAATCGGGACAGTCCCGGAATTTACACCTTTTGTCCCTGGTTTTTCTAAAAGTAATATTTGTCCCGGATTTAGAAACGAATTGCCAGACGATATTAAGATGACCAATGATAACGATAATTTTAAAAGAAAAATAAAGAAATACTATAAGGAATTTGAAGACAAAGAAGACTGAAGAGTTATATATATATATATATATATATATATATATATATATATATATAGATATTATATTAATGAAATAGATATTATAGTCAAATGAAATGTATATATTATATGAAAACTGTTTTTAATAATCTCTCATACCAGGCACCTCTGTCTGACTGACATATGAAATTAATGTAATAATAATGTAAGATCTTTTGTCCCGCAATGTCACAGGTTCTCAAATTAGGATTAAATTGTATGTTCGCAGTTACTTGATAAAAACATTATAACTATCCATCAAATACCTGAAGAGTATGCTCTTATGAAGGAATACGTTTTGAATAAGAAAATTGCCGAATGAAAAATTTAAAAAATTATGAAAACAAACTTTTTAACTGACTGTCACAAGTTCTAATTTGTATCAATTTTAAGTTAATTGTAAACAAAATTGCCATAATTTTTATATCTCAAATGCAAAAAAAAACATAAGATAATATTAAATATTGTTCAATGTGAAAATTGTTGTGTTGTCTAGTGAAGTGTTCATGTATATCTTGATTTGTGTCTATTGTTTGCACTTCTTTTAATTCGGTTAAATTTCATTTTGTGTATTAGTTTGCATTTCTCTATTTTAATTATGTTTTTTAGTAAATGATTATTTGTTTCTCTCTGTAAGTATTTGGTGGGTGTTAGATGTGGAAAATTATATGCTATTTTTATGGCTTTATTCATTATTCTCTGTATGTCATTTAGATTTGCTTTAGTTGTTTGGCTCCATGTTGTTATTTCATATAAAATTATAGGTAATATTTGCGTTGAAAGAGTGGATCCTTTTCAATGCCCCTGTTAATGTTCCTATCTTTCTGTTTATTTTGTTTATATGTTCTGTCCATGTCAGTTTTTCATTTATTATCAGTCCTAAGTATTTTATGCTTTCCACTTCCTCTATTTCTCTATTATTTACTTTAATTTTTAGTTTAGTGTTCTCAGTATTTTTTCTATGTTTGAAATATATGTATTTCGTTTTATCAATGTTAATTGTTAGTTTATTTTCAGTTAGCCACTCGGTGTATATTTTCATGTCCGTGTTTATAGTATCTTCGAGTCTTTTTTTATCCTTATCCGCATATACTCGAATAATAAAGTCCTTTTAAAAGTATGAAATTTTGATTAAAATATTGAATTATAAAAATAAAATTTATTTTTATTGTATTCTTAAGAAGTATTTGATATTTTAAATCATATTTTAAGTAATTTAGTTTAAAACCACCCCGTTGCGGATTAACATATCTAAACATTTTGGTCCCATGGTCACAATATTAAAAAATGATCCCAAAATAAACATTTCAATATTTTTTACTTTTTATAATTTATTTGTGTTAAATGAAGATTCTAAGGTAAAAGTAAAAACTAATGGGGTGTATGGCAACGTGCCTTAAGGCCAATTGCTGGAACTTTCCATACCGTTACGAAATGTTCGAGGAATACTGAATGTTTTCAAATAGAAAGTTGAAATTATTTGTTTAAAGTATATTTGAACTATAGTCAGAATTAAAAATGAAATCTGAATTATTTTCAATATACAAAAAAAAGTTGAAACAAATTTTTTTTTCCAATATCAATTATTTTGTTAAGACAAGCAGAAAGTTCTTTGAATCATTTAAATCGGACGCTTAGTTTTCTCAAAAACTGCCATTTTTTGCACATTTAGCTCCGTATCTTCGAAATGGCTATGCCTGCCTTTGCCAAAAACTAATAAACACTTCTCTCAATCATTACTAATTAAATGTTTTCTAGATCATTCAAATTGGATGCTTCGTTCTCTCAATAACTCGATTTCTATTATTCTTTTTGCTCTTTATCTTCGTAACTGCTGGGCCTGCGTTTGCCAAAAACTAATCAGCACATCTTCATCAATAGGAATCGAATGTTTTTTGAACCATTTAAATCGGTGAATCCGTGCGCTCGAAAACGTGACCGAAAAATTGTATCCATACATACATACACACAAACATCCATTTTTTCTGAGGTATGCCAAAATATGCAGAAACTTTCAAAACGTCAAAAAATGTAAAAAATTTCAATTTCGATTTTTGGACGATTACAATAACTTACCTCACGGGAAGTTAAAAATTACTGCCATCACAAGCAGTAGGACTATTTCAATTTAATTTTTATTTTTGAAAGTCATCAATTTAATTATGATGGTCATCTGTTATGATATAAGTCACTGTCATCTTCATTTGTTTAATTTTTACCAATGTCAATTTAAAAATTTTGATAAAAAAATTTAAAAACACAAAAAAAATATATAAGTAAAATTATTTTGTAATAATGTTATTGTCCAAATTTCCACGTATAATTTTCCGCAATTCTGCAAGACATTATTCGGCCGATTTGAAAACAGCGTTCGAAGAACATTTCATAGTTCCAGATGTTATAGACAAGGCACCAAATGAACATTTACACATCACATACAGGAAGATAAAAGTTTGTGGACAATGTCTAAAGCCGAGCGAAACGAAGTGCAAACCTTGCGTTACTTGGTGTGTAGGCAAAAAATGTGATTTTTTCACTTTATCAATGGTGGATCCAGACGTACCTGGTAAGGAATGCCCTCGAGAACGAGAGTTCAACCACTGGCTTGTTGGAAATATAGAAGGTCAAGATGTTCGCCAAGGATGTCCGATAGTGGAATACCTCGGACCTTTACCCACGCATGGAACAGGAAACCACAGATACGTTTTCACGTTGTATAAACAGAAATGTAAAATAGAGTTTGAAGAACAAACAATCAAAAGCCATTGTCTTATTGGCCGACCTTGCTTCCGTATTCGCGATTTTGCTAAAAAGTACAAATTGGGACACCCAGTCGCTGGCATGGTGTTCGTAGCAAGTTGGGAATGCTTCGTGGACAAGAAAAAACGCGAACTGGCAAAAATGAAGAAAAAACGTACAGCACGCGATTCTGAATGTGAATAAACACTCTATTGTAAATAAATAAAATAATAAATACATTTTTGCCAATCAAATTATTCAACTTTATCTTCATATTTTATTTGAATATGGGTAGATATATTATTATTATTATTCACATTCTATTCTAATTCTAAGGCATTTTTACACATTTTTTCACAATATATATTTATATATATTAGGGTGGTCTTTAATATGGTCATTTTTGAATTTCCTTGCTCCCAATGGCTCAAATGGTTCCAAATAACATTGATAAAAAACAATTCTCTGAAAGTTTTAGCTCTTAATATTGTCTTTTAGATAGAGCGCAATTCAATCAAAGATTTGTATGGTAATAGCATGAAATTTTTTTCAAAATTTTTGCAGAGCGTCGAATTTTCAATAAAAAAATGACACGAATTATCACTTTGTTGATTTTGTTTGTTTTTATTTTCAAAATTTTTTCAATGCTATTTCCATACAAAGTTTGATTGAATTGCGCACTATCTACAAGTTAAAATTAAGAGCTCAAACTTTCAGAAAATTGTTTTTTATCGTTTTGAAACCATTAGACCCCTTGGGAGCAAGGAGATTCGAAAATGCTCATATTAAGGACCACCCTAATATATATACATGTATAAATATATATATACTAGCAAACCCGACGAACTCCGTTTCGCCACCAGATAGTTTCGTGAGAAAGATGAAGAAATTTTTTGTTTGTTTTATATTTTAAAAGGAGAAATTTGATTTTATTATACAACAGTAACGAATTTATTTTGATTACAAAAATGAAGTGTTTTTTACTTGAACTTCTCTAAGTAAATGAAAGTGAACCCGCAAATTATCCATTTATGGAAGTGATCTTTGGTAAACCACATTTTTTGTTTTTTGGTCTGACGTTAACACAAACAAAGCGGATGGTTTTCCAACTTGTGAACAGGTAACGTATAACTGCCCATGTGAAAAACAATGATTTTCTAAATAATCTATTTGAAATTTATCCCGCAAACACTAAGCAATTGGCCTTGCGACATGTTATTGCGAACGCAAGGCGAACTGGATATTGCAATCGTTTGAAGTCAAACGGAAAACCAGTCAGAATCTTCGGTATGTCACCAAATCGCCAGCAATTTTTGATTGTATGGTGAAATTCAGGGCGTGTACATCATTATTCTTTGCGGCAAGAATTGCTCGTTGACTTAACCAAGCATAATTCTGATAATTCTCACTAATGTCATTACTCGAACTTTTAATTACGGTGCGTAAAGTTCCAGCAGCTTGCATTAAGGCACGACGCCATGCACAACTAATTTTCTTAGCTATAAACCTTGCGGAGCCCGAGACCTTTCGAACGAATGCAAAATTGTCGAAATCGGTTCGTGCGTTCTGGAGTTATTTTGTCAGGAAGAAAAACCGGACTTATTTTTATATATATAAAAGATAATCTATTTGAAATTATTTAAAACAGTTATTGATTATTTTTATTACTCGAATTTTTAATTACGGTGCGTGAAGTTCCAGCAGCTTGCATTAAGGCACGATGCCATGCACAACTAATTTTCTTAGCTATAAACCTTGCGGAGCCCGAGACCTTTCCAACGAATGCAAAATTGTCGAAATCGGTTCGTGCGTTCTAGAGTTATTTCGTCAGGAAGGAAAACTCGACTTATTTTTATATATATAGAAGATATATATATAAATATATATATATATATATATATATATATGTATACATGACCATGTCGGTGCCAAGTAAGAGCATTCATCGTTCATCATTCATTCATTACTTGCACCGAATAATTGAAATTCTACATTCAACAAACAAGAGCGACGCTCACTAATTGCTTCCCAGTTCCGCGAATTAGTTGACGCAGAAACTTTGACTGCGAGCAACGACAGCAACAAGTTTTTATTAGTTTTCATTAAGAAAATTTGATTTTGAGGGCTTTTAACATACATACTCTTTGAAATAGTAAAATAGTAATTTTACTAGCATCTTAGTATATTAGCATCATCTAGTTTATACAAAATAATTACTCAATGTTATGTCTGGGTTCATCAGATTACACATGCCTACAAAAAAAATTTTTTTGTTTGGTGCATCAAATGTTAAAGCTGATTCTTATAGTATTTTTGCGCTGATTTCAAATCTGCAAACCATTTTTTTGTATCAGCTCTAGTTTGGAACCAGGTCCATTCGAGGTCGTCACGGAAAAAAACTTTTCACAGTGTCAACTAATGTCCCAACTAAGGCCGAACGGGTCTTGTAAGTTTGTATGTACGAGTAGGCATATCTCATTAAAATAAAATTCTGAATTGTATTACTATTTTGTACTTTCATTCCTTATATATCATATATATCATATCTTGAAAACTAAAGCTCATAGAAAAATACCAATATCATTTTTGAAATCAGCGCCCCAAATATACCTAAAAACAGCATTAAAATCGTTTGCACCATTTTCTTTGTTGGCCTGTGTTATTATAGGCATATTTTTGACTTAAATTTGAATTAAATCACTTTATATTAACAGAGCAATTTGAAACAATAATTAAACTAGAGTATGACATTATTTCATAAATTAAATTTCGAAAATTTTGATTTATCTAAAAGATTATTAGAGATCATTTTAAAATTATATTGTTCAATAGCATTAAGACATTTAAAAAATCAAAATTAAAAATTTGAAGAGAAAAGAGATTGATAATTAATAGCTAACTAAATGCAAGGATCATAATAATAATAATAAGCTTCATAATATAATATAGAATGAAATAAATATACATATATGTATATATAAAAACTATGTAATTTATATAAAATTTATATAAAATATTTATAAAATATTTTTATATAAAATTTTATATAAGGCACCCCTGCCTGAAAGAGATGTGAATATAAAAAAAAACACCTTGCATTTAAAAATTTTTGAAAATGCCGACTATCTTATATATTTTAGATTTGTGAAATTGGAAATTTGTTCAAATTTTAAACATATTGGAATCTTTCCAAAAATACTGTGATATAGTTTTACATAAACACAATATTAATAATAGTAGATAATAAAATATGAGTTAAATGGAGCACTTTCCATAGAAATCAGGTGTTAAATATTAGGTTGTCAAATATCTCCCTTCCGCTTTTTTGCTCTTGGTTTATAATACAAAAAGGTTTATAATAATAAATTTGACAACAACATTTAGAATTCTATCACAATATTTCTAAGAGATAATATAATAATGAATATATTTTAAAAAATGATAATAAAATATAGAATGCAATCAATGAAGAAATATGTAAACAATCTTATAGAAAAATACTACATGAATGAATTACTGGAACTGTAATAATTACATTTGTAAGGTACCAATGGATAGTTATTCTTTATGTGCCATAATAATTTGTGATGAAAATTTTAACAATGTATAATTACTAATATATTTTTTGATATATTATCAAAAAAATATATTAGTAATTCTTATTTATATTAAAGAATGCAAATCGAGATTATCTCTGGCTAGAAATAAATTACCTAAACGTTTGTGAATAAGATATTTTATGAACCTTTTAAAAGTAATATTTAAAATAGCGATATGATAAGAAACAAAGTATTTTATGAACACAGTTTCAAACTTAATTGCCAGCACCTTCTATGAAAGATTGATCAAGTTTCGTTCTGCAAGTGATCATATACAAGTTAAATTTACATAAGAATGTAAACAGTTACGGCGTATAATTCTCTAACTATTTCAGGTATGCAAGAAGTGCTTCTCTACAATTTTAGCTTTGAAGTTTTCGTGAAACGACATCCAAAGAACATGAGGAAAGCTATCATAACTTCATCTCTTGTAAACTTACGTCATAACTTATACCTCGGTTTCGGGTAACCGGGTAACCGGTGATTCACGGTTTGCGGTAGGGACAGTATATTATCAGGCGATCTAGATTTTAGATAAATGACTAACTTGGAATAATGTTGATATTGCGATATTGCCAGAAGATGGGGACTGATTAAAGAAAAGGACTTGTGAAGCATGGTCGTTGGAGATAATTTTAATCTTGTATTAAGAAGTTCCGGGAAAGGCTTTGGGATTTAAAGTAAAGTTTTACATCAGAATTCGTAGAAAGTTTGAGTTAATTACTTAAGCATTTAGAAAGTTATGTGCTGCCTTAAATTTAAGAGAATGGTAATTTTATGTTATGGGCTATTAACAATCAAGAGATATTATCAAAGCATTTTGACATAATCAAGCATGTTTTATATAAAATTATTACCTTGTTGGCAGAAATCATTTCCGGATAAATCGATTGTTATACAACTTAATATCCGCTATACTTCAATTGCCGGTATGGACAAATCAATTTCCGTAGATTCAACTTTTGGACCACTCGATTTTCTGGTGGCTTAATCTCAAAATGATTGTGAGACGAAACGATATTCAGACGACTAGACTTTCAGACGACATGGTTTTTCATCTAAATGGATATCTGAAGATAGCAGTGATCTGCAACAATACAAACTATAACAATTCATGTAGAAATATATAATAATAAAAAAATCTATTTACATATCTATATGTACCATAAAATAGCTTATAAATCACTAAAAAATTTATGTTTTTTTTTTTTTTAATATTTAAAATTTACACAAAAATACTTGAGTGCTTTATATACTCAAAAAACTTAAATTTTAAAAAAAGTATATTTTGAGAAAAAAAATTGTTGAACTTATCAACATATTAATAATTCACAAACACTCGCATATAATGATAATGAATTTATTTAAATATAAAAAATCTATATTACTTCTATTATTATATTTAGATAAAATCATACATAGTTCACAGCTCAAATTCAATTCCATAGAAACATTTTACCCATGTTTATCGCATAAAACTAAGTTTTGGCACAAATTCAAATTTTACGTTAAAGTTATTTGCTTTGGGCAAAATGCCATTTAAATATTTTTATAAATTAAATATGGGAGAAAGCTGCTAAGCTTTGATTTTAAATTTGTACTCAA